ACATGCTCATATTCGTTGGAGGATTACGTTATTCAAAATTCGATGACTCTATGTACCGTTGTTTTATCACAATACGAGAAATATACATACATTTATGCAGATTTTTCATTATTTAATTTCTTCAAATATAATGCAGGACTCTAACATTTTGTGGCAACAGTTTGAAAAGTGAACCGACATTTATGAGTCCGACGCAAAATGCCAAAACGAAACTAATAGTCCTTCGGGATTCAAATCCCTTTGGACTAAAAAAAAAAAAAAAAAAAAAAAAAAAGGAAATTTATGGGACTGAGTAACATAGGACAGGGACACTGTCATTAAAAGAAGTGGGTTCCTAGCGAAAAGGGAAGCAATGTTTAACCGGCTTTTTTTAAACCTCACTTATCAAATAACCTACTATGTTTCTGACCTTTTCGGTACATATCGCATAAATAACTTCCAGATTATTTACGAATAAAAGGATTTTGTACAAAAGTAATTAATTTTTATACATCTTAAAATTTAGAAGTTAATTATGGAGCTTGGAGGCATCGTTGTCTGAAATTAAGCGTAAAATCATATGAAACGGAAGTAATTTTATTAAAATTATCTTTTATTAAGAATGCTGAAATAGTAATTTCATGCTTCGCTGTTTTCTTGGAAAAAAAAAAAAAAAAAAAAGCTTAACCGTTAATAGCGGTTTTTGTTATTCAATCTATCTGAACTAACCTTTCTATTAAGTTTTCAATATCGCTTATCTTAGTAACAATTAAGAAACGCTTTTTAAAATAAAATATATAGCCACCTTTTTTCACGCTGACGATGGCAAAAGGAGTATATGAAAATAAACTGATTGTTGTGAAATTATAACGATGACCTTCACGCTACGATTCCATCCTATTAGCAAAGAAATAAGTACATTATATTTTTTAAAAAGAGCCTTATATTTTTCAACATGCTTTGAATAAGTAAATTTATTCAAGTATAACAAATTACTAATTAGAAACTATTTCGCAGTTTGAAATAAAGCTCGTTAACTGTTTAATAAATGAAAATGAAATTATTAAAAACCTTAATCTGATAAATTTATTGAATTTTACGAGAAAATTTTTTCCTGAGTAAGTGAGAAAATGCGTAAATGTTTTCTTTCTTTCTTTTTTAACAGTTAAGTTTTTTAAAACAAATTTGAAATTTCTACTTCATTTTGACTGGAAATGATTATATTTTAGAACGTATAGATGAATATCATGGCAATATTATAAGCAAAGTCTTTTTTTTTATCTTCGAAAATTAACTCCCAATACATAAATAAAAATGCCGAAACTGAAACGTTCTGTTATTAAAATACTATGCTTTCTGATTATCGAAAGTCGCCAACTCATTGTCGTTATTTTTTAAGTCCCTGTACGAAGTAAAGGAAGTATTATAATCGTGAAAAAAATTTCGGGTATCATATTTCAACGAAAATATGCATTTTGACCCGCCTAGAATCCATTTGAACGATGTTTTTGAGTGACATCTATACGTACAGACAGAATAAAGGATTCTTTTTACCCAAAACGGATTTAAAAATGGATTTAAAATAGATGCAGAAGAGTTTTTTTTCCATGATGACCTTCCGTAATCGGTCGCACAAAAGTATATATATATATATATATATAATTCATAATTATTTATAATAAGAAAACTTTCCATATACCATCTCCAAGGAACACAAATTCAATTAAAAACCATGAATGAAAAAAATTTTTTGGTCAGAATTTAAATTATAATTTCAACTTCTTGTTTAAAAAAATCTGCTAAGAAAAATCTTAAATCTAAAAAAAAAGTAAATTTTTAATATCGAAGAAATAGTATTGTCATTGATCGCAGATTAATCGACTTATCAAGGGCATAAACCAATCTACCATTCATTAACAACAACTAAATGAACAGTTTCATCTTACTTTCAAGTAAGCATCAAATTATTTGCTAGATTCAAACCATAAATCACGAATAATACTCAATCCAGATAAAGATATTAGTCGATCGATTTAACTCAAAAGAATCTTGTTAAACAAAATAGCAAATAATCTTAAAATTAAAGTTTCTGCTTAAGAACACAATTAATCTGAACGAGATGCTTGTGTTAGTAACTAATATGTGATATTTAACTTTGCATTCAAACACAGGCAGTCATGATGAAATTACAATTTTGATCTACTCATGTTTTTAAATCGAAATTTCATAGATAACAATAATAAGAAGTTTAATTCTTAATTCGTAGCTTGAAACTAGGAATTTTAGTTATTATTTTGAGTAATTTCTGAAATAAATATTTTGGTTGAAACATTACCTGGATAGCTGTGACAGAAAATAAGCGTAGGTTTCTTGTCATTTGGTTTTCATTTTAGAATAAATAATATTCAGATATGTAATATTCATGAAACATTTTGATATATTGCATCATGAAAATTCGATTTACTTGTAGTTTACAAGCTGATTTTATTCCTTGACACTTTCTATTAGAGTACGTACCGTGTTCAAAAAAGTACTCATACAGCCTTTATTTTCACAACCTTTTGTTGCAGACATATATTTCCATTTACAGAAATGTAAATAATTCATTTAATAATGCAAAATTTCATGTTTATCATTTTCAAAATTTAAAGAAACAAATTTTGTAAAAATTCCTAAATATAACATTTTATACATTACTCTGTGGCATATATGTATACTATATTAATATAGCATTCAAACTATAGTAATAATACTATTATGTACTATAAAAGTCATGTTCAGGGGCTGCTCACAAATTGAAGCGCGAATTTTTGCATCTGTTCATAGCTGAAAATGAAGTATCAGCTTAACAAAATATTTCTGGAGTTAAGAAATTAAGTGATGAACATTTATATGCAGCTTATTGTTTTAAGTACCGATTGATATAAGTTTTTTTTCAAAGCTGAGGTTTTATTCAGATTCTTACAGAATTTGTGTTTCAGAAAACACTGGCAGGCTTCAGTATCGGCACGTAGTCAATTCGTAATATTATTTACATGAACTTACAATGAAAACTATTTGTCGTTAAATGAATTTTTTGTAAAATTATCAGATTACGATTCTGATGTAATAAAACTTCCCGAGGAAAACTTATTGACATTTAAATGGTGTGGTAAGCTTTCTCTGGTCCAAGCAGATATTTGCCATTTTTTTTCAGGATTAGAAGAAAATTAATGCGTTACATCCCCAGTCACAATTTGTTTGCGAAATTTTGCTGTTCTTACCGCTTTTTAAACAATTTTTATTACCATTCTTTACTCAACTTTCAAATCCATGAACGCAGATGTTCACTGGATCAAAGTAAATGATAAACTGAATATACCGTATATTGCGGGGTATAAAACGCCCCTTTAATTTCAAACTACATTTAAAAATTTTTAAGCAAATCCTCAGTATTTTTTAGGTAAATCCCTCAGTATGTACATTTTTAAATTTTTAGGTAAATCCTCAGTATAACGCGCACTATTTTCTTTACAAAGAAACCTGAAAGATACATGCGCGATGGTCTTATCTTTTGAAGTCATTCATTCGAAGAATTTTCCCAAGCTTCCGAACAGTGGTATACTGAGCTGACAAGCGATAAGAGTAACAAAATGTGTGTAGGGTAAATGCTTGAGGGAGTAAATAATTCTGCGAAGAATATGAGTTGTATTCATTGCAGGTGTGCACGAGAATGTTATTCTAGATTTCCAAAGAAGATCATTATTTATTTTCAAGAGAATTATTTATTTATGGTTCAGAGTAATGAGATGGGGAAGATGAAACAGAATTTGGTGAAGTTCCTGAAGATATAACGGAAGACGAATATTATGAAAATTTTTAAGTCCATAAAGTTTATCATTTCTTTTGAATAAAGAGCATTTATGCACACGTAGAAACTAATTTTCTTTTATGCTCATCTTTTCCTTATTTTTAAATCTATTATTATATCCCACGTATAATGCTCATCTGTAAATTTCGATCATATGCTTTGTATTAAAAGTACGCGTTAAATGCCAGAATATGCGATGTATATATAAAGAGAGAGAAATACTGTGAGAGAGAGTTCTAAGTTTCACAAAAGAAAATTATAATTTTAGGGATTTCTTGAGTCTTTACAATCTGAAGGTCACTGACAGGCCATATCTTTTATGTAAGTTTTTGATTTATGGTTGCCATATTTTAGAAATGCAAATCCAAGGCACTATAAAAAATTATCTTAATATTTAAAAAGGTCTTGTGGTTTTTAAGTTAAAGTCACAAACGAAAGGTTGATATAAAGAAATAAAAGAGAGGGCACAAAACTCGTTTAACAAAAATTCTCAGAATACTGGAAAATACATTACCATCTGCCATAGATCTATTGTGGAGATGCAAAGGATGCGAAGGAAATTATCGAATTTTATCTTCAAATACCTGGATCTCATGTAATATTTAATCATTTTCCTTCCTTCCTTTCTAGAAATTAATGATTTCTCTTTCTTTGATAACCAAAGTTAAAAAGCCCCAGCCGTTTTTCTATTAAATCCAGTTCCGGACATAATTAGGGTCCAAGATTATCCGAGATAATTCTGGACCTCTGATAATCCTAATGTAACAAATGCTGAATCACAGGAACTTGACCCACTTCAGTCCATGCTTGCAGAAACCAGTGACAGAATGCTTGAGTCATACGGAGCTTTCAAACTGTTAAATGCCTGCAGCATGATAAACAAATACGTTATAATCATAATAAGCAACCCATTTTTTTAATAATTCAAATTAATACTCTAATGAATCTCGCATAATATCCGCCAAACCATTCCAATGTGGTTGCTAATATTCAGAAAACCACCGCCGGAAAATTTCGCACATTATGTCACAAACATTCGTTATGGGTTTGTTTCACGCTGTTTGGTCAACATTCGCGAGCTTTCGTTCTGAAGGTCAGTATGTAAAACTTGCAGGTGTGCCCCCTTCCTCAAAGTCATCGGAGAACTTCGTCGCCGGAAGAGGTATTTTCCAAAGTGTCTTTTCTCATTCATAAGTAGGTTGCGTAACATTTTGTGCCTAGCGCGGATTTCTAGCAGCCTTGAACAGGTGTTGTTGCAAATGAAAGTGATTTGCTTCGCTACGCTGGTCAGCGCTCACTTTTGCTCAACACCTCGAGACGGAATGTTTCCCAGCAGACACCCTACGCGGTTCGTGCTCTCCATCTTCCTCCTCGCTTTAACTTCGGGTAAGTGACCAGAAATAAAATTCTTTTCATTATAGTTAATCAAATGTTTAAACATTATCATTAGGTTCTTTAAAATGAACCTAATGATAATGTTTCATTAATAAAAATTGATATTCCACTACTTTTTTAATTCAGACTGCTACACGATCTCTTAGTCAGTACATGATCCGTTAGTTCTTAGCTAGGAATTCAGTTCTGTTTTGCCTGTCTTTTTTATTTTTCACATTTTATTGGATCACGTATGGTTAATTTATTTATGTATCCAGGAAAATTACACATGCGCCGTATAATTCCATGCTTAAAACTAAGAGAATTTTATTTAAAAAATGAATAAATAAAAGAAAAATTTTCAGAATGATCGCAGTCTAACATTTTGAAGAGTCTATTACTAATGTTTAAAAACGTTAAGAAAAATATAAATTTAAAATTTACAAAATATAAAAAATTAATAAAATTTAAAAAACTCGAAAAACTTTCAGGCTTTATATTACGCCTCAAGAGGCGTTATTTTAATGTTTTGTATGTTACATTTATTTAATAAATATCATGTTCGACGCACTTAAACCATAAAATTCAGTTCAACAGCAGTATCGCAAAATAATTTTAAAAGAGCACATCTTTAGAATTTCCGACACACAGTCTTGCGTGCTGGAGATAATTAGTCCAAAGGGGCTTTGTCCCTGAAGGACTATTGTTTCCGTTTTGCGATTTTGCGTTGAAAATTTTAAAAGGCTGTATCACTTTTCAAATCGTTTCCACCAAATACTATCACTCTGTATTATATTTGCAGAAATGAAATAATGAAGAATCAGCGTAAATGTATGGATGTTTCTCGCATTATTATAAAACACTGATACCTAGAGCCATCCGATTTTGAATGACGTAATCTTACTGCGAATATGTAAACTGAAAGCCCAAATTTTAAATTTAGAATTTGTTTTATTATCGATTTCATATTTTGTGAAACTTTAACGAATTTTTGATTAACAAACTCAGCGATTTATTAGCGAGCAATGGCAACAGTCTACGGGGAGAAAAGAACCTTTTTATCTCCACTGCGCGGAACTGTGTATCGGAAATTCTAAAGATATGCTCAGTTTAAAATCATTTGCGACATTGCTGTTGAACTTAATTTTATGGTTTAAGTGCAAAGAAAACTAAATTTAATAAATAAAGGTAACATATAAAACATTAAAAAAACGCCCCTTTGGACCTAATTTAAAATCTGAAACCTTTCAGATTTTTATTTCCCCTGCCGTACAGGGTTGCCATTGCTCGCTTTGAAATCGTTTAGTGTGTTAGTCAAAAATTGATTAAAGTTTTACAAAGTATGAAATATATAATAAAACAAATACAAATTCCAAATTTGGGCTTTATGATGCCCATATTCCCGTTATTCAAAATTTGATGTCTCTAGGTACCGTTGTTTTTGCACTTTGCGAAAAACGTACATATATTCATGCAGATTTTTCATTATTTAATTTCTTCAAGTTTAATATTTAGTGTAACAATTTGAAAAGTAAACTTTTAGTTTAATACATAAAACATTTTCAAATTAAGCAGTTACAGTTGGCCTGTTCCAGTCCCGACTTCCAAAACTGAAGGATGGAGGCAAAAATACGGCTCCCACCCCTTTAGTTTTGTCAATGTAGTAGATGTCGCTAATGCAATTTATATTTCATGTAAAATATATGAGGTTTTTTTCCTCCCTCTTTTCAGCTTGCCTTCAAGGTATAACGGTAGCACGCTAGGTGCGTATTCGAGAGGTGCGAGGTTAGAGTCCCGGCGAGGGCACTGCACATTTTTCACTTTCCTGATTATTGATGGTATTAGAAACTTTATATTTTGAGCAGGGCAACACTGCCAAAATTAGTCAATGCATGCGTGTTGGTATAACGTAAGGTAAAGCAACAGTCCAAATTTTTTGGAAATCACCGTTAAGAACATTTCTAATTTCAATAAAATCTTATAGCCTCACTTAAATCAGCTAGACAACATTCATAAAATATAAAATGCTTAGTAGGAATGTAGCTATAACTTTTATTTTTTTCTAGGATGGGCAAAATAGAAGATAAAGTACAAATGATAAGCATTTTAACCTCACTGACGTATGAAAATCGAAACTTTGCGAAGGAGAACTTCTTTTTATTCTTTTATAAGAGCGTCATGGCTGAAGAGTAACTTGAATTTTCGTTCAGCAATAAATACAGATACTTCTTCTTTATTTAAAACAATCAATTATTCATTCAGCGATTCTGACAGAGGATGCATAATTGGTATTAAAGAATTCGATTCTTCTTTCCAAGATCCTATAAGGTTCTCCCTCCTTCCAGCATACCTTCGTGAGGTAACGTAGCACACTCGGTGCATATTCGAGAGGTCCAGGTTCAAGTCCTGATGAGGGCATTGCACATTTTTCAATTTTCCTACTTAAAAAAAAAGTGACTCAGGAACTAAAAAAGGTGATGGACAATAATTCGTCACCACAGCTTTTTGTCGATTAGGTCCCCTAGTCCACGTGAAATAACTTTATAATTCAGTGTGTTTCATCTCAGGTTTCTTAAATAAAAAAGTAAATATTACTTTTTCCTTTCAGTTCAGTATATGTTGCATTAAACATCAACTTGCACCTTTGGAAATTAGGGTCTTGTATTTTTCTGAACGAACTGATAAAGGCGGGAAAGCTTAAAGTCTTACTTACTTCAAGTCTTTGTTAAACTCTAGAAGTAGGATCAAATTGATGATATTAAATTGTTTATCAATTCGTTAATCAAGTATATGAATAAAATGTAGAATTAAAGAAATTCAACTTCTTTCAAACATGGAAAAATGTAATTCTTCTGATGGGTATATGAGAATACAGAAGTACTTTAGAAGAATAACTAATACTATAGAAGAATTTGTGGCACCCTTAGAAGCGGAGGCCCTGGGCACGTGCCCCATTTATCCCTGCGAAATCAGGATCCGCGCCTACTATTGTAATAATTAGTTACCTAGATAATAAAAGGATAGGATTAATTAAAGTTATAGGATATGATATCCTATGTTTAAAGTGAGTTTTCAAAATTATAAAGCCAAATGTTAGGGGGAAAAGTGCTATGATTTTATTTTACCTTAAATTAACGCCCTTCGGAGATTTATGCATTTATTTAATAAAAAAAAACTTAATTATTCAAAACGTAACTGAGAATTTATTAAATTGGATAGTTTGCACACGAGGCTTAGAGCAGATATTTCCCTCGAGTGGCTATATTTTTATTTGTCAAGACATAAAATCTGTGAACAATAAGCACTTCTTCGAGCTGTTTAATAAATACATATATATATTATAATTAAATAGTATACAAATTATTGTCTACTGGTTTTCAGTTTATATTTCTTTGCCTCTGAAAAAAAAGAAAAGAAAGAAAAGTGTAAAAAAGTTTTCTTTAATTCTTTTGCAATGTTTTATTAACATATGAGTAATTTTATAATATATTATTATGTAAAAGATTATGCAGTATATGTCGTAAAATGCTTTCTATTATTTACGCGGAAGTGTTACATTTACGAATAATTACTAGTTAGATAGATTACAAATTATATTAAACTTCTATATGGTTAAAATTAAAATAAGGTTAAATGTTACTAACAAAAAGTACTCATATTGGTTTATAAATAGACTCATCAGTAGATGGGACAGTGTGCCCATCTTAATATGGGCTGTAAAATCTCTGAACAGTGGTATTTCGAACTCCCAAATCACAAAGAAAAAGCTGACTACGTGGAATTTTCTTTATTTCCCCCTATGCTTAATGTGTCAAATACGAAACAGTTTTCCTTAAAAAATCCTCCACAAAAGTGTTCTTCCTATTAAGCATATAAGATATTTCTCCCACTTTCCTAGCGTGCGTTCATGGTGTAGTGGTTCCGCACGCTGAGCCGGTATTCCAGAATTCCGTGGTTCGATTCCCGGCGAAGGCGGTTGCTATTTTTCATCTTTTCTGCTTCAAAAAATATCCTAATGTCTCTACAAGCAATAGACCCCCGTGTTTAGCCATAATCCAAAGAATGAGCAGGACAATACCGTTTGCTTGGGATTTACCGATCCTCCCGTCATTTTGATAAAAACGACAGCTCTTCTCTTTAAATAAAACCTGTACATATGCTTTTAATAGGTTATCAGAAACTAATATTCATAACCTGTAATTCTATATCAGAATCTGGAATCTATACTAGGATAATTGGGGAGATTGTTAGATTAATATCAATTAACCGTAGTATTTATACAAAGTTATGAAAATTGTAGAGAATTGAATGCGTTTCTGGCATTGCGGATAAACAGCGGCACCTAAAGCCTTTAAATTTCGAACACGCATAGTTTTCTACCAGAGCATATTCACCTCAAAGCCAGAATTTTGAAATTTTTTTTCAAATTTCTTCATAATTTGATTACAAAATTGGCGATATAAAAGCAATGTGTTGTCACTCAGCAAATGGTTACAATATTTATGTTTAAACTTAATTATAAAACTCAACAGTCTAAGAGAAACGTGTTAAGCGTGAGTTTTTTAACTTCAGGTTTAATCTTCTATTACTAACTGACAAACTAAATGATTTAAAAGCAATAAACCGAGTTCTTCATTTCTGTTATTATTAATTACTAGCTGTAACCGTGAAATTACACTTGTTGGATTCATTAAAAGTATTATATATATTTTATTTTTATTAGCTATTTTAGGCAGCTAGCCGCGCAAGTTTCTAGTATAATAAATGATTTGCACAATTTTTTTTTTTTTTTTTTTTTGCTTATAAAGTTAAAAAATCAAGAGTAAATTTCATAGAAAAAAGCGAAATTTCTTCTGACTATACTTTGTAAACTAAAATTTTTTCTGATTTTGCATTTAAAATTTTCTGTACCTCTAACTAAAAAAAAAAGTGCTTACAGTATTTTTTAAGTTTTACCTATCTGCATTCACATGCTTAAGAATTTTGTCTGGAATGACCTGTTGTTATTTTTC